ACTTTTCGTCTCTAAGAGAAATGCAAGTTGTAGGAGTCGGAATAAGTAAATTTCTTGTACTGGCAATGCTGGTAGCTTCTGCTTCTACGTGAACTGCTTTTAATTTTTTATTTGGCGTATCTTTCTGTCCATGATTATTTTTGCTATTTCGGTTTTCTGTTCAATTGAATTTTCAATGTAACCTTCAGCAACCGAGCTTGAGAGCCAACCTCCATGTCGCTTTAAAACTGTCATGTCCGCTCCTGAATCTGCCAGCATTGTTGCAGAGCTGCGCCGGAAACAATGACTAGTGTATTCAATGGCGTTGGAGAGTCCAAGAAATTCCGCTATCTCTTTTGGCATACCTCCAATTGTATTGATTCCAACTTGCAGGGTACAGTATTGATTTTATCGATACGTCAAGAAAAATCGCTGATGTGTCACATTGAGTGGTGGAAGTTTTGCGTGCTTACGAAATACATGTAAGAAATTGATACGTTCTGTTGGTCCCTTAGTAATCGTAAACACTCTTGGAAAATGAGTTTTTGTATTCGGAATCTTCGCTCTAATAAATGACTGACAATTTTTAATGGCATCTACGGTCAAAACATGATTTCTTCCCTCTTACATGCTCCAAATACTCCAAAGATTAAGACAACTTTAGCTAACAGGAATTCTTTGTCATCGGCTTCTTTCATAAAGCGTTCTAGTTTCAATTTTGTAAATACTTTTGATTTGAAAATGCAATATGGTTTGTGAATTTGCTAATATCTACGTTTCTGTTCAGGTAAATCCTGGTGCGGAGCATCGAATGTTTACTCCACAGAGTTGACGGCTTTAAGGTAGTGGATAACTTCAGGAAATAGGCTAGCAATACCTTTTCTGTGAAATTCTCAACATGTTTTTCTTTGACCCAGGTTTCAAAGTTCTTGTAGGTAGCATCGAATAAGTTTTTCGACTTCTCGGGCACTAACGTGGATAGCGCAGTTTCAGCAGCTTGTTGAATATCCAAAGACTCGTCTTTATCACTCATTTTTTCACAAAACTTAGATAGGTAGTTTAATATAACTAGGAGATACGGCGATGTTTGAACCTGACAGAACTTTGTCATTAAACGATGCATAAACAATGCCTTAGAAACCGATTACCAGAACATTTTAAAAAATGTTTAAAAATAAATAATAATAATAGCATGAAAATCTCAAATTATCCGCTTTTAAAAAAAATCTTGTATGAAATTTGTTGCGAAAAGAGTGTTTTAAGCACTCGACGCAATTTTGCGTCCCGTGCTTAAAACTCATTCATTTCGCAACTTGTTACATAAATAGCTATTTTATTTTAGAAAGTTTGGCATTGAATTTTGAACTCGTATGGATTTAATATTATAAGTACACACCAAAATAGTAGTATTACCTAGCATAGTATATAAGTACCTAGCATAGTTTTGATTTTAGGGCACATCTTATAGTTTTATTTGTATTTAAAAATGCTGAAAATCATTTTTTTTTTCATTTATTTACTTATAGGAGCTGCAGATCCCCGACGCAACTGTTGCAGGAAGGGTCCTTAAATTTTTATTTACTAAAAAACTCAAATTTAGTCAGACAGGGGTTATAACAACAAAACATATTTCAATTTCTAGTTATGCAGTTGTTTGTTAATCGCAATGATGTTAAATAATATTTAACATTGTCTTACGACATTAAGAGGTTTACCTTGTTTATAAATAGCAAGTGTTTTTCTTTGTTAGGTTTATATTAAAATTATAAACACGAGTGTGACAAAACAAATGTAAATTTAAGATCAACAACTGTTCATTTTCAACACTAACGCGTATCGTTGTTAATTGAATTAACTAATGCATTATGTTTATTGTTTCAGGTAAGTTTCCAGAGAGATATATGTTTTACATTCCCACTCTGCCCGAGTTTCGTCGCTGGTAAGTTTAATAGCGGTGTATTAACCATTGTTTTCGTAATTTTCGTGATAAAATAATATTTTGAAGCGGCACAAGCGTGCATTTTCGTGTTAGACATGAAAGTAGTTTATTAAAGTTATTGTTCTTAGCGGAAAGTTATATAGTGTGGCATTAAGATAAAATACTGAAATGCGTCAGGATATCTTATGTCTTATAGACTTAAAGTTTTATCTATACCGGGTGTTTTTCAAAGTAGCTCACCTCTATGACTTTTTTAATTTTTCGGATAAAAAAACGAGATTTGGTATGTTAGTATACGACACAAATCCGGATTAATTGACATATTCATTTTTTTCGTCACTTCCTGTATCAGAGGATATGACTATAAAACTTTTGATTTTCAAATAGTACAGTATTTTTTACTTTATTTGATAGAATTACGTTCCAAATAGAATGCCATATCATAATATGTCAACTATTGACATTTTCAATTAAACAAAAATACTATTTATTTTAAATTTCAATCTAGAGTGTCTACTTATTGCAGAGTCAGAGGACGACCTCCAAAGAATGCTACAAGCTTTTAACAGACAGGCAGAAAAACTCAACATGCAAATTTCCACAAATAAGACCAAATGCATGACCATTACAAAGGAGCCTCTACAGTGCAAATTGGTAATAAAAAACAAAACTATTGATCAGATAATGTTATTCGAATACCTCGGATGCAAAATTACAAGCTCAGGATTCCTAGAAGAAGAAGTAAGGAAACAAGCCAATAAAGCTGCCGCAATATCAGGACATCTTAAATATCCCATATGGAAAAACAAACATTTGAGTACAGAATGTAAGTCAAGAATATACAAAACCTGCATACGACCAGTGATGACATATGGTGCGGAAACCAGAGCTGAAACATCAGTAACAAAGAGAATCCTACGAACTACTGAAATGAAGACTTTAAGAATGATAACTGGATACACATTGAGGGACAGACAGAGAAATGTAGACATAAGAGAAAAGTGCCAAACAAACGACGTTGTCAGATGGATAAGGCAGAGAAGAAGAGAATGGAACCAGCATGTCAATAGCATGGGCCCCGACAGAATGGCCATAATAATTCGCAACAACGTACCCCATGGCAGAACACCTACTGGACGACCACCTAAACGTTGGCAAGACAGTTGGCAGTCAACCTCGCAAGAGTTGCTTAGACGATAAGGAAACCGGAACTAAACAGGCGATACGCCTTCTAAAAGAAGAAGAAGAAGAAGAAGAAGAATCTAGAGTGTCATGGTTGTGTTAAAATAACTAATTTTTAATGAAGGAGCCTTGGAAAACAAATTTGACCGTCCAATGATTTTGTGTGTTTTCCTGACAGGTTAAAAAATGCGAAAATAGTATTTTTAATCATATATATTCATTTTTTTTAAATGGAACGGGGGTCATTAGCTAGCATATTTAGAAAAAAAAGCATTTCGAGTTAAATTGTAGTTATATTTATTGTCTTGGCACTCTAGATTGAAATTAAAAATACTATTTTTTTAACCAAAAATGTCAAAAGTTACCTATAATTCAGAATATCATTATTTTCAATCAAATAAAGTAAAAAATACCGAGCAAAAATGAAAAGTTGTAGTCATTTCCGGTGAAACAGGAAGTGGCGGAAACTAATTGAGTACATCAATAAATCCTGACTTATGGCGTGGCACTAACATACTCAATCTCGGTTTATAATCTCAAAAAATAAAAAGCTTTAGAGGTGAGCCACTTTTTAGAAACGCCCGGTATAAGATGCTATCACCACTAAAATTTTATATAAAAAAAATAAAATATGTTGTTAAAATAAAATATGTGAAATATAACCCATACTTTGAATATAACGATTAAGGATAGAGTATATCAACAAACTTATACAGGGTGAGTCTTAAATAAGTGCAAATATTTTCAGGGCTGGTAGATCTTGATAAAAGAAACGTATTTTCTCTTTACCGTTTTTCAAACATATCAAAAATAACCGAGCTATTTTACTTTGAAAGTTACCAAAAAAAAATACTTGCTTAAATTTTGTGATCCATTGGATCTATTCTGGGTTTTCTTTCTTGTAAATTTAATCTACTACCTATGTTGCTATATTATCAAGAAATTATGTTTATAACTAAGAACTAAAAAAAATTCCAAAATTTTTTTCGAAAAATTCCAAATTTTCGCGAAAAACCTCGTAAATAATTGCACTTATTTAAGTCTCCCCTGTATATAACTCACTAAACTCCGGTTCATCAGTGCCATTTCTATTGTATTCAAAACGTGTAAAATTATAATGTAGGGTAGACTCAATAACTTGTTGGTTTAGTTGCTGTCGATAATTATTATTTGCGTGTCAAATGCGTGTCAAATACTCATCAGCGAGTAATGGCGGTATGGTATGGTATGGTAATTATTATTTATTAAAATTGTATTAAAATATATTACTAATAAAAACAGATTAAGTTATAATAATTATTTAGTAACAAAAATATCATTTGACGCTACTGAAACGCTACTGAAACAATTAAGTCAAACTGACGTATCCTAAGTATTTTCTAAGTTACAAGTTATAAATAAAAGCGTAAATTCAAGAAAATATATAGTATAATTAGTAATTTCTGAGTGATTTTCATAACTGATTGGTTTACTATACGTAAGGCGTATTAAATAATTACTAACAAGTGAAAATGATTGAGAATACTGGCAGCAGAATATAGCAGTATAGAATATTGACCGGCAGCCATTGGGCGCAACCCAAACCAACCCAAACCTTACCGAAATTTTATTTATAATTTTTAAAAGTGTGTGTGCGTGTCAATTTGTTAATGTAAATTAATGTGATTAATATTTTGGACATATATGTGTAAATGACGAACGATATCTACGTTCAATGTTGATTTAAAAAGATCAAAATGTGATCGAAATGTTGGAAAACTATTAAAGATTCAGTTATAATTCTATTTGAATTCTATTTTATTAAAATTACTTAGATCAAATACCAAGAATAAGTTAACCATAAATATTTTTGATACATTGAACTAACATGTATATTTATAGTCTATACAGAATAAAACAATTTCTTACAAACTGTGTATATTTGCTTTTGTACAGTGGTATATTATATTAATTCAAGAGCAAACGGCTTTAGCAGTTTTCTCACACTCTACTAGAGTAGCGAAGTTATTTCCAGTTTTGTTACATCCACCGTAAATAACAGGTTCACACTTCTTGCTAGAATCATTCCAGGTGTAAACCTGAATGTAAGCCAGACATCTGATGGGTCCCGTTTCATGTGGTAAAACACAGTCTAAAATAAAATATTTATAAAACTTCTCTATATTTATTCCTTATGGTTTTTATACATTCAACTGAAGTCTAAATTTTTTAAATAGAAGTATAAAATATTCTACATTATGACCACCATCGGATTTACTAAAAGACCTTTTTCTAAAAAATTATACTTCCCTTAAAAGTGTATCTCTGTCTTATAAATTCAAATCTTTTTATATTACGAAAATATCATATTGATTTATTAGCTTAAACAAAAAAAAATACATTAAATATGTCTAAAAACACAGAACAAATTGACTAAATAATTAAATTTTATAGGTCAAAATTAATTTCTCCTAATTATTTAACCAAACTAAAATGATATAGTATTATGATTTCTTTATAAATTGGTATTACTTATATTATTAGTGTTAATAAATCATAAAGTTGCTCTCTTTGATTTATTAGTGACAACGCAATAACTCTTATTATAATTCGCTGCAGACCATTTATATGACAACTATTTTAATATTTATGGCTCTTTTAATAGGCTTAAAATTTTTGAATTAACAAAAAAAATAGACTTTGTGTCTAATGCTGCTCTTAAATTAATGTAAATTAAATTAATAAGCAGTTTAATTTAATTTATTGTTTTAAAGAAGTCTCAAAAGTGGCTCACCCCTATAACTTTTTTATTTTTTCAGATAAAAAAACGAGATTTGGTATGTTAGTATATGACATAAATTAGGATTGATTTAAATGAGGATAATCTCTCTTAATAAAAAATCTATTTTAAAATTCAATCTAGAGTGCCATGGCTATGTTAAAAACACTAATTCTTAATCAAGGAGACTTAGAAATATAGATTTGATCGTCTAATGATTTTAGTGTCTTGTCCTGGCCAGTGAGAAAGTGCTCAAATCGTATTTTTAATCAAATCACAATTTTTTCAAATGGAACGAGGGTGGGTCATTAGCATATTTGGAAAAAGCTGTTTTTTACGAATAATTTGATACCACAAACTTGGTATTTCAAGTCAAATTTTCGTTACGAACCGCAAGTTATAATTTCAAATAAACCATATGCGAAAATGTCAAAAGTTGACATATGATATGCCATTCAATTCAGAGTGTTATTTTCTATCGAGTACAGTAAAAAAATACCGAGGGTGCAATTTATAAATCAAAAGTTATAGTCATTTCCGGTGAAACAGGAAGTTACCAAAAACAATTGAATACGTCAATCAATCCTAATTTGTGTCATATACTAACATACCAAATCTGTTTTTTTTTAACTGAAAAAATAAGAAAAGTTGTAGGGGTGAGCCAGTTTTGAAACGCACTTGGTATAGGGTGATTTTTAAATAAGTGCAAATATTTTGAGGGCCGGTAGATTGGTTGTAAGAACATATTTTCTCTTTAAGGTTTTTTAACGTTTCACAATAACCTAACTGTTTTGTTTGAAAATTATTTTAAACATGCATTTTTAGATCAACTGGATTTTTTCTGGAATTTCTTTCCTGTAATTATAATCTACTACCTATATTGCCATATTTTCAAGATATTATAAAAATTAAAACATATCAAAATTTTTCATTTGAAAAATAAAAAATTTTAAAAAAAATGTGAAAAATCTTCATAGACCCTAGGGTCAAAATAAAAATATTTGCAGTTATTTAAAACTTTCTTCAAAAAAGTCCTCTGGGTATTTCGCTACTTGCACTGTAAGGCAATCTACAAAATAAAATAGCAATTTTTTGTTAACACCGCTGCGGTAATCCAACGAAGACCAACTTTTCAGCGGTGTTTTACTAATAAGACAAATTTGCCTAACGGACAAAAAAAATCTTAACGTTTCAGGAGGTTTAAACATTTTTTTGTCCTTTAGGCAAATATGTTTTATTAGTAAAATACACCCCTGACAAGTTTTTTTAACTGGCAACTTTTTTAAAGAGATGAATCCGCCCTGTATGTAAAGTTGAATTAACTAAAATTGAGTTTTACGAAACTATATGATAATATTATAACAAATTATTTTAAAAAGGTTTAGATATCAACGTATTAACAAAAACTTACATTTTTTCTATAAAATTATTTAGAATATTATTTAAAATTAGTAAATTTAAAAAAATAATTTTGGTCTACCTGATTTAGAGAAGGCCATCGTCGAAAATACATTTGCAAATATTAAAAGGAAAATCACAAACACATTAACTTTTCTCATGTTACCAAACTATAAATATCAGCAAAGTGGAAAAACAAGTTAGCAGTACGGATTTGCAAGGAATTTTCTAAGATTTTTCTTTATATAGTAAAAAATAAAAATGCATTATGTAATATGAATTTTAATGGGCATTAAACCACGAACAAAACATCAATTAATGGCAACGTTTTGAATTATGGCTGTACGAGGGAAGAGTTATAATTATACCATAATAAATAAAACATTTCAACGTTAATACCTATAGTAAAAGGTCTGCTTGCTTATACAGGGTGAGATGTTGTAGAGAAGAGGTCTGTGTATGTGTGACCATATTTGTGACACCTTGTGTGTGCAGTAGTAGTATTTGTGACATACGTCTCAATTATGGTATACATACACGCGTATACCACAATTTTCTGATAGCAAATTCGATATCCTCGGGTCAAAATTAGTCTGGTCGGCTAGATCCGAAAAATTACGTGTGTAAGTTTCCACAAATCATAATATTTTTTTGGTATCACACACTTTCAGAATGTGGTAACCTAAACTTCACTGTATCGCAGCGCCATCTACATTTTTATACACACTCATATTTGTGGTAAACCCGGCGTTTAGATACGTACATTCCCGAAAAGTACCGATTCAGAATACACACCATATTATTTAATTTCTATTCTTTTATGTTTTCTGTTGCGTCCCAAATTTTTAAAAAATATTTGGGAATGTACAGGGTGGCGCCTCTCATACGCCGCGGAGGCTCTAAGGAGAACGACAGTTTGTATTGAAATGAAAATTTGTGAGCATATGTAGTTTAATTCAGAGCACTTTTTAAAAATATAGAGACTTCTACAGGGTGTCCCCAAAAAAAGTTACATATCAAAGTTGTATTTTTTGTAATGTATTATATATGTACCCTATATATAATCGATTTTCAGATTCTGGGAGAAAAATAAAGGTGAGTTTTATAAGAGAATATTACAGAGAATTATTATATATGACTAAAATATAAGGTTTTTGACATATTTAACATTTTCTAGAAATAAAGAACAATTTTTAAATTACAATAAAAGCTACCTAAATTGGAATTTACCCGGTATAGCCTAATATATAGTTAAATTAACTATTGTACTTTAAATCAAATTAAAACTTGATCCAAAAAGTTATACAGGGGAGACAAAATTAATATTGAACACTGATCACCTTTAAAAGAATGTTACTCTTTTATTTTAAATGGACCACCCAATGTATTATTCAGATATTCAATGGAGAATTCATGTCTCTTCAAAATACTGTTAAGGTTGCCTACCCCTCAAACAAAGATTTTCCTAGATATTTTCATTTACATGATTTAATCTAAGTAGATCTTTATTATTTGATAAAATCTAGGTGGCTCTGATATGTCTGTCGTTACTTCTACATAGCTGTCTAATTAATCCAACTTTAACAACTAGTTATCATTTTGTGTCAGTTAAAATAAAAAAAAATCTCAGAAATTTGCCGAAAATGCAAACTTATCCTACATCAGAGAGAATTGATATGATTCTATTAGTTGGTGTTGTTAAGTTAGGTTGCATTTGCAGTGTGCATTCACCAATTAATAGAATACTTAAATGTTTCTGATTTTATCTAGTCTGTTTTTTTATGGGGATATGTTAAAGACAGTGTTTACAAAACTCGACCAACTATTGTCGACAACATGAGAGAAATTATTGTAGCTGCTCTTCTAGGCAGAACTCCACATATGCCTTTTAAAACGAAAAGATCCTTTTGAAAAGACAATTATTTTATGCAATTAACAGGAAAGGAAGCATTTTGAGCATTAGATTTCATTTTTGTCACATAATTATAGGTTTATGTCTAGTTTTAATTCTGTCATAATTAAAATATGTTTTAAACGTGTATCTTTTTATTACCGTTGAGTATTTTACTCTACAATCTTTAATTTTTGTTAAATTAACAAAAGGTAATATCACACAGCCACCCTAGATTTTTTCAAATAATAAAGATCTACTGACGTAAAATCATAAAAAATAAAATATCTAAGAAAATCTTTGTCTAAGGGGTTGGCAACCTTAATAATATTTTGAAGAAACAACAAATTATTAATTAATTACAAATTCCCCACTGAACACCGGAAAAATGTACTGGATGTTCCTTTTAAAATAAAGGAGTAACTTGCTTTTAAAAGTGACTAATGTTCCATATTAATTTGTTTCACTGTATAACTTTTTCAGGTCAAATTTCAATTTGGTTTAACATACAATAGTTACTGTAAAAATATCAGGCTATACAAGATCACCCCAAAAATTTAGGTAGCTGTTATCGAAATTTAAAATTTACTTCCTTCGTTTTCAAAAAAATGTGAAATATGTCAAAAATCCTAGATTCTTTAATAAAACTCACCTTTATTTTTTTATTTGCTAGAATCCAAAAAAATCAATTAATATTAGGGTGTTCCGTCAGAAAAAACACAACTTTGATACCAAAATCTCATTTCGATATAAACTACCGTTCTCCTTGGAGCTATGTATGAGAGGAAACATCCTGTATAAGGTAGATTTTCAATCATTTAGCTGCGCATGAACAAACACAAATGCATTTTTAAATGGAACACCCCGTATTTTGATATATTATGATTTTAATTAAAAATAAGTATTATTCATTTAACTTAATATTATGAATAATTATTGTACTGTTTTTAATTAATTACATTTGAAAATTTACATTTTCAGATTTTGAAAAGCAGTTCATGTGCCTTATGAAAGACTTTTAAATAACGATATAAGAACATAGACACAACCTGGTTTGGCTGTTAATATTTTAATGGTATAGACAAATCTAAGAAATACTAAAAAAATATAATTTTCAAACATGAATAATTCAAAAGTAATTGAATCAGTGTATGGTACGTTAAATGAAAAATTCTAAAAAAATTTGATTAGAATCAAATCAAGAAATTTTTTTAGAATCAATATCTGCTATGAGTTTCTCCATTTAAAACAATTCAATTTTGATCGGTTTTATCTTGTCTTTCAGGTACCCCTTTGTATAAATATAAATGCGCCAAAAAAACTACATAATAAATCCTAGAATATTTAATAAAAATATATATAGGGTGTTTCTTAATGATATAGTTAGGTTCACGGGGGAAATTATTGGTTAATTTTAAGAAAAAAAACTTCACAGGAAACTATTTCCAAACCTATCAACTTGATAACTGAGATACAGAGTGGACAAGGTTCCTAGAATCCTTTTGGCGGAAAATTAACTCAAGAGTCGCCTCTAAATCTCATTGAGGAACACCCTTATATCATAATATATTATTAAAATATTAATTATACAGTATGTTCCCGGATTGTCTTTACAAGAGGAAAAACTTTTTTATTATTGATATTTTGAGAAAAATGCATTCTTCATAAAAATTTTTGCTTGTTCTAAAATGGTTAATCCCGTTTATAGTTTTCCAAATTTCCATACCGTTTTAGAGAAAATTAAAAAAAAATGAAAATATGGTTGAATTTTTTGTCTAAAGTTCTAAAAATCAAAACGCGTTACTTGTTGTTATTGATAGAATTTTAATTAACGTCATATTTTTTTGCGTTTTAAAATGATAAAGAAACACAAAATTTATTTAGTTGAATGCTACGGAAAGGATGATAATGGTTATCGGAAAATGTGATACCTTAACAATAGCAAAACATATGTCATTAACCAAAATTAATAATACCCATCTATCAAAGAATGAAATCTAAATTATATTACCATAAAAACTCGGTTTCATTTTTAGGGCTTAGAAAAAATCAACGATATTTTCATGTTTATCATTTTCAAACGGGATTAACCATTTTAGAACAAGCAAAAATTTTTATTAAGAATGCATTTTTCTCAAAATATTAATAATAAATATGTTTTTCCTCTTGTAAAGACAATCCGGAGACATACTGTATATTAGTTATATATTATTACCATAACATATTAAAATGTACCGAGAGGAAAATCCCGAACATATTCTAAATGATATGATAGTCGGTCGCTTAGGGTTACCAAACCGGGTGCCCGGTGCATATTTATCCCCGAAATACCGATATTAAATCCCAGGATTCCGAAAATGTCGAAAAATTTTAATGCCCAATCTAAAATGATTCGAGTTAGTCTTTCAAATATCATATTTTATTTATACTAACAGCGCTTTTAGATGGAGCGGAGCGTCCGCGCGTACCGTCCGCGTGTTCCACTAGTTCAAATGAACAGTTTTACATGGGTCGCGCGTATGCTCCGTCCGGATGAGATCGTCGACGGCTATCTTATCTTGAAAAAATATCCGATGCGGACGCTCCCGCGCGTACGGCTGCTGCTGAATCCCGACAAGCGCTGTTACCGCGTTTCAGATAGAGCGGAGCGTCGCGCGTACCGTCCGCGAGTTCCATTACAGCGCTTTCAGATAGAGTGGAGCGGTCGCGCGTACCGTCCGCGAGTTCCATTACAGCGCTTTCAGATGGAGCGGAGCTCTACGCGGACCGTCCGCCAGGTCCATGAATTTAAATGAACATAATTTCACATGGGTCGCATATGCTCCGTTCGGATGAGCTATGTTGAAAAAACATCCGTGCGTACGGTCCGCTCCATGTGAAAGCGCTGTAAGCCGAACGTCAATATCTAAGTGTTATATTTCCGTGTTTGCTATATTTTTTTTTTGCAACAAGAATTTTATTTTTTTTTACTAACTACATATGGAATATTACTTTGTTTATTCTATTTTAATAAAGCTCTTTCCTCATTTTCTTTTTGATATATTATGTAGCTGCATTTTTATTAAATATTTCTTTAGATTAAATTTCTCATTCTGATCCCCGCGATTCCGAGATTATAGGTTCTTATTCCGAGATTTGAAATAATTGGAAACCCTACTTACACTGAGTGAAAGTTTTTTTTATATCGTTAGTTGTATTGGCTAAATATTTGTGCACAATGGGTTAGAAATACCGTTTGATCGAAAAAGAAACCGCGTCATAGACGCCTGGGGAATGACAATAGTTGCTAGTTTCGGCGAGGTCAATCTCAAGATGCCAGTTTCTAAAAATTGACATAAA